TCTGTGCGCGTTTAGCTCCATAACGCAATGATAATATGTAGCACTTGCTTCAACCAAATTTTATAATTTTAGAATATGACTAGTAAAAACCTTTAAATTTATGTACAATAAATAAAATTTTATTTCAGCTGGATATAATACACCAGAATATAATTTCATATTTTAAACCCTAATATTTTGTCTAACTTTTTTCCAAACATAATAGAACATATATGACTGCGCACAGAGCTAAGAAATTGCATTTTTATTACACATTATGGCAAATACGACTATTTTTTTTATAATATTGATACAGAATCGTATTAGTTTTAATATCAAATTGTTCTATAGATTTTATGTATAAAAAGTACCATCTCTCCTTTAAACATACAATAAATATTATATCGAAAGAAAATGTAAAATGAAACTTATTCTAAGTACGGCCATATGTAAAAAATCATTCCTTCAAGAACAATCGCATTTAATTACAATCGAGAAATTGACCACGCACTCGAGTTATTTCTAACAAAACAAATTGCCGTTGCGACTTCAGTCTTATTATTAACGTCTCGGTCAGTAGCTGCACCCATACTGATGTTGAAATCAAATGTTCACATCTTATAATTCTTTGTGTGCTTTATTATTTTCTTAAAACATTTTAGAGATTCCCTTATCTCCTCCTGCATTCTCTAATAGCATTTGTTTTAAAACAGTGAATGTGGTTCATTCTTGTTAGAGACTATATGCCAAGAGTAAAATTGTGATAAATCATGACAACATTCAAAATCATACAAGTATCTACACGAAAAGGATTTAAATATAATATTATTTAAATTTAGATACTAAAATATAGAAAAATATTATATCAAGATAAACCCTGTATTTTTTTTATATAAAGATTATGAACTTATTTGGATATACATATTGTTTACCTTTGAAATTTTGTTAAATCTCTCTCTTTATCATAGCAAATACCAAAACAAAGAAATATAGTTAATAAGTTATCATTTTAATTTAAAATTCAAATTAGATACTGTAGATTGGTGTTGCATTCAATTACTAATGCCATTGCCAACATGATCGATACAATAGGAATAGCTCGAAAATTGAAAGACCCGTGTCCACATGTGACTTGCTATTTTATAAATTTCCACCAACAAAGCTGGCGTCTGCGTTACCACTCGGTTTACTGAAGCACATATAATATATAATCTATATTATTTAGTTTAAATGCCGATACGCGTTGGGTTCTTATCGAGCACCGGCAGCTATTGAGTCTACCCTACTGTCTGAATCAGGTTTGTCAACGTCAGAGGCGTCATCCTCATCAGAGGCATCGTCCATGTCGTCTTCGTCCTCGTTTTCCATGTCATCGTCTAAGTCTGCGTCGTCTTGATTTGTCGCGTCGGTTCCGTTCTTCGACGAGGCGCAATCTGAATTGTCATCGACCGACCCGGGCATCATGGGTAATTTCTCGTTGCTGTTATTTCCTGCGAGATTTCTGTCAACCTTTCGACAAATTTCTATCATTTTACCACAGGAGCAGCGTTGCCACAGACCTGTATGGATCCTTTTATGGATGTTCAACGAAGATTTCTGTGTAAACCGCTTCATACAGATGTCGCACTGGAAGGGTCTCTCACCGGTGTGGGTGCGCATGTGAATGTCCAGGTAGGGCTTCCGACAGAATGCCGAATCGCATTGCGTACACTGGAAAGGCTTGTTCAACGACCAGTAACCTGGAATTTTCCGCCCGATATCATAGATTTGTATACCGCCCGGTATCCAAAAAGACTTATAACGCGCAACCGACATAATGTAAGAATACACAAATAAAACAACTAAAGCATCCATTAATTACGTGAGATCAAGACAGAAGAAATGGCAGTGGGTAACGATGTACTGTTAAGTAGTTCAAAAAAGAATCTATAAACTTTGCGAATTCCATTTTTCAGCTTAACCCTCTGTTTTTTTTTTATAATTAATATACTGCGAAGTAAATCCCGTATAATAAGAATAGATAAAGGTAAATTTGATTCACCAAAGAAATGAAGGTAAAATTTCGAAGAAAAGCAACTCCGGAAATTTATGGTAACCCACCAACAAAAATTTGCTTACGTTTTACAGCTAATGACAAAATTATTATTTATTTATATATATGTATATCACATATTTATTTATATATATGTATATCACACATTATTTATATATATATAGGTATCTTTTTTATACTTAGGAAGTGAAAAATTGATTCAAAAATAATCTTCTCTTAGGCATTGAAATTGATAAACATGTTTGATTTCGCAAAGTTTAGAATCTAGATTTGCAACTATTTATTTCTATTCATAATTATGAAATTCATTTTGAATTTTTTTTTGAATATATTGCCTTTCAAGTTGAATGATAAATTAAATAAATATTTGTCAAATTATAATGAAAATGTTATATTATTATGTTTAAAACAATTAATAGCTTTATACCGTTTTTAAAACTATCTAGGACTAATGTTTTAGTTCAGTGCATATTAAACTATTTTTTTGAAGCAAATGTGTTATTTTTCCTCATTAGACTAAGTACGAATTAATCACAACAGTAATGAAAAATATAATAAAATATATTCTACATAAATTTATTTATATGTCTGTTAAAAAAGGTAATATTGCAATTTAAAGAAAATAATCATGTAACCCAAACTTTGTTTAACATATTAGTATAACCCTATTCGTACCTAACTCAAAAATGATAATAAAATACTCTTTTAATGAAATCATGCAAATTATGATAAAATGATAATGCTTGAAAATATTTGAACATGTGTCGGTTGCGCTTTTAATTACTATATAATAAAATGTTAAAATTAATTAAAACGCACCAGTATGAATTTTCTCATGTAAATGAAGTGCGCACTTCTGACTGAAAGTCTTGAGACAACTTGCACACTGGTAGGGCCGCTCACCTATACATTTTATAACATTATTAATATAGTTAGCAAATTAATTTCTTCAAATCCAAAAAAATTAGGTTGATACAAAAATGCTGGGATCAAATAAAATTTCCAAATTATTACAAATTTACCATCACTTCCCAAGAGCACTCCACATGTTCAAATATTTTAATTTAATCGCCATAATGAGAAATGGTTAAAAGAGAATTTGAAATATAATTGTCCATGCATCATTTCGGCATTTCTAAATAAAATTTTAAAATAGGAACACATGCAACTCTGTGCTCTGAGGATGCAACATGATTCCTCTGAATTTTAAAAATAAACAAATAATTAGAATGTGTGATGGTTTTCTATGGTAGTCACAACGTTCAACATACATCATATACAATTGATATGTCTCAACATGTTTAATGTTAAATATATAAAATCTTCATGTAACGTGTAATAAAATGTGTTAAAATATTGCCCAACGCATTGATTACTTAGAAAAAAAAAGTATTTTAAGTTATATTATCTACAAAAATGCCTGCCTCTGATTTTAAAGACGTAATGCTGGAACCTATTCAACTTGACTTGTGATTAAAAATATATTAATTTATTATTTAAATTCTCAATTAAATTTCTTAACTTTTATGAAATGTTGTTATTATTCAATTGTAATTTATATCTAAAAAGTGCCCAAAGTTTTAAAAAAGTAATCTCAGAATCATTATCAAAGATCTCATATGCAAAACTAATAAAAAGCAATAACAAATTGTGAGTACATTATCCTACACTATCAACATTACACAGGCACACACAGAGATATATATATATTCATAAACATTACAGATATTTATAAACCGCCTAGAACATTAAGTATTTGATGATAGCACAAAATGATTTAATCGTAATAAACTGGCATGAATAATGAAAAAAATATATAAAAGTTTACCATATTAAGATATAAAATTTTAAATATTGGGAACTTAGCTATACTTTTTCACACAACCATTCTTTGATATTAAATATATTTTTATACAACATACCTGTATGAACCCTTTTGTGAGTATTTAGTGAAGACTTTTGTGTAAACCGTTTATTGCATACATCACACTGAAATGGCCTTTCACCTGTATGAGTGCGCATATGTACCTCAAGATAAGGTTTTCGGCAAAATGCTGCATCACAAACCTGCAACAAACATTACGCATATAAATATATATACATAAATGTGAATATTGGCATAACCATGAACAAATACTATCGTTTGAGAAGTCTGGATTTAACCCTGTTGGGCAAATAATTTTCCATATTTATCAAGTCAATATAAAAATATGATAGATGAAAAAATACTATTTGTAAAATAGGAGGTAAGTCTAATTTTTTTTTATTTACATCAATCTTTACATTTATATAAATCTTTTTTATAACAGTAATACAAATATACTTACAGTACACTGAAATGGCTTGTTTCCTGAATGCAATTTCATATGTACATAATATGAAGAAGCAGAGGATAAGATTTTCCCACAAATTTTGCAGGCTTGTGGTTTGTTCCGAGAATTGAGTTCAGTTTTTGCTGTAAGATGACCATCATGCCCTTCATCGTGATTTACATTTTCCATATCATGTTGGCCAATTTGATTTGACTGTATAACAGCAGGATTAACTTGATTAATAACTTGTCCAATTTGAGATTCCTGATTTACTTGATTTATTTGATTGATTTGTGTATTCGCAGAATTTTGGGATGATTGCTGATTTTGCTGAAATTTGAATATTGCTATATTTATATTTGCAATTTAAAATTAAACTAACACATTATTTTAATTATATGATTTTTAATGAACACAGAATGCTGTATTGGTATCTAGTTTATGGATCTCACCTCAATAGCGTACTGTAGTTTTTCATTTGTGTTTACAGAAATTTGCTGCACCATAGCATCTTTTGCAGAATTATCAGATGAAATGTTTATTACGGAATGTTCTGAATTTTCTAGTCGTGGATGTGTTGGTGGAGGGCATGAATAAAAACTCATCGGTTCTGATTTGATCTGTTGCTCAAACATACTAATAGTGGCCAAGAGGTCTCCGGGCGGGGGCACGGGTACACCAACCCCGCGCCCCACCCCCCAATGCGTAGGAAAACTAATGGTGGGGCTTTAATATCAACATGTTCGCCACCAATACCTCAGCCATGGCAATAGCTTTTTCACACCTGGGAAGACATAATAAGCAAAAATATTTATTAAACCCTGTCCATAAAACTTTATTATTATAAAATTTTACAGTTTTTGGTTTTTAAATTATGCAAATGATAATGATCTTCGTAAAAGTCATAATTTCACTGTAGAGACAGAATCTTCAGTTCTGCAGTAGAGCTTTAAATTTATACACAAATAATGTCAAGGCAAATATCTTGAAAAAAAAAACTGTATTTTTTTAAAAAAAAATATAAAGTCTAAATTGAGGTGCACGAATGGGACTTGAATAAATTGAAGAATGCTTTGGTGTCAACTGTTTATAAAAAATTGTTATAATATTTTTCCATAAATATATTAAGCTCACTTCACATACGCCAATTACTTGTACACCGTTTACACAAAATTTTTTTAAAATCACATTCGCGAACTCATATGTAATAACTCTCAATTACTTACTTTTAAATAATTGATATTTCTTCTTCACATACTTCTTTATTTGTTTTGCTTCGTCTAACTTTAGCCAAACTGTAAAATTAAAACTAACTAATCGTTTAACTATCAAGTTTCTTGAATTTCACACTGTATGCATTTCAAAATTTAATTTCACTAGTTACTTAAATAAGCATAATAAAATACATTTTATTCACACTACATATCTATAAAATCATAGCACAGCAAGAGAACAAATATTTCATTTTGACAAGATGGCGCTTGTTACAAATGCGCGTTGAAGTTGCGCACAAACAATATGCAAACGGATCGAAAAAGAATTTACCATAGGAGCAACGTGACAAATAAAAAAATATATTGCTGTAATACTTTATTCATTCTTTTATCTAAAATTTATATAGTCTTAAATAAAGATACATTCATTGTTGAAAACATTAAAAGAGAGTTGTATTGCCTTGCTTAAATAATTTTACCACAAAGAAAAGCTACTTTTCATAGTAGCATTATTGTAACCCATGGTAGGAACCCCATATTGGGCATTCATATTTTGATTTGCCATCTGCCCATAATTTGCATAAGGATCTTCAGTATAATAAGGTTTTTTTGCTGCCATGTTATTATATCCACCTTGTGCAATTCCAGCCATAGCATTTGGTCGACCATATGTATTCCGATAAGCCTGAAAAATAGTTTTCATTGTAATATTATATCAAATTTATTGTGAGTATGTATTATAATAAAAGAACACTTAAGAATGTAAAGTGTCAACTAATTTTAAAATCAGTTTTGATAAGTTTATCTTACAGGATCATTTCAAGAAATACCTCATTATCCATTTTAGAACCATTAACAGCTGCTGTTGGCATTTCAGTTCCATAGCCATATTCGTTTTGCTTCATACCTTTATAGGCACCTTGTTGCTGTTGATATGACATCATAGCGGCACTATACTGTTTAGCTCGTCCATACAAAAGTGACATGTTAGATGGTTGTTGAGGTTGTTGGGGTTGTTGAGGTGTCTCATCTAAAAATCCATTATAAATTATTCCACCAAACCAATTAATATGGAAGTCTAGACGAATTATAATTACATGATCCCCCAGAAACAAATGATGAGGATAAAGGTTGGTCATAACCTAAACCAAAACGTGATTGTCGTTTTCTTGCCATAAATGCAGCACCCTTACGTTTTCTTGAAGATATTCCATCAGCACTACCTCCATATTGAGGGTTCAGTCGATTTTTATGTCTATTTGACATCATATGCTAAAAGAAGTTCTATATTAAACATCATCGTACATATAATACATGCATAATTTCACTGCAATCTTTAATAAATTTCAAACCTGTTCATACTGTGTTTTGGAGTTTGTTTCAACATTACATGATTCACATTTAAATATTTCAGGTTGACCATCAGGTTTGGCTTTCTTTGAAGGTGATGCATCTGTATTATCTGCATCTTTTGATTTTTTTTTTATGGCTTTTTGAGTTGGTGCTGGTGTTGTGTTTTCCAAAGCTAATAAAAAAAAGAAAATCGTACAATTTCACAATGATTATTATAAAATTACATCATAAAAAAATTAGAAAGTAGCGTAAATATTAATATACATATATGTAAACAACCACATATGCATATATATATATATATACATATATATATGCATATATATGTGTATACATATATATAGGTATATAAATATATATTTATATATGTCTACACTTGCATACGCATATATATACATACATATGCATATATATATATATATATATAATATATACATACATATGCATATATATACATATACATACATATGCATATATATATATACATATACATACATACATATGCATATATTAGGTTGTCAAGTATCTCCCTTCCGCCTTTTTGTATTATAAACCAATAGCAAGAAGGCGGAAGGGAGATATTTGACAACCTAATATATACATATACATACATACATATGCATATACATACATATGCATATATATATATATATATATACATACATATGCATATATATATACATACATATGCATATATATATATATACATACATATGCATATATATATATTATATATATATACATACATATGCATATATATATATACATACATATGCATATATGTATATACATACATATGCATATACATATATATATACATACATATGCATATATATATATACATATGCATATATATATATATATATATATATATATATATATATATATATATATATATATATATATATATATATTGGAGTATGTACACCAGTTTACACATACATATATGAAAGTAAATGTGTAGTATATAAATCATTTATAAGTATACAGAACTTACACAAAAATAATACAATGCAATATTTACTGTAAAACTAAACATGTTTCTTTCTTAAGATATTATTTACAACTTAATCAGTTTTTTCTAGTTAAGTAACTATTTACAGAAACGAATAGTATAGCAATAAATACAAAAATAAGCATAATGTTATATAAAAAAACAACAGGTATAAGAGAAGGCACCATACCGTTCTTGATCTATATTTACCTTTTTGTTCAACTTTACTAATATGTTTGTTACCTGTGAAATATTTGCTGGATTAATATACATGAAAGGAACAAATATTGAAAAATCAAATGAATATTTTCATGTTACTTTTCATATGCATGTCCAATTGACTAGACGAATTTGCATATATGCCACAATCTTTACAATAAAATTGTCCTATAACAGTCAATCCAGTAGTAGTGCCATCAAAAGTTTCTTTTGGAAGACCACCTAAACTCTGTGATCGTAAATTTTTCTGATGGCGTTTGCCTGCCAGATGGGATTCCAGAATACAACTATTAGCAAATGTAAGTTTACAAATATCACAAGGCAATTTCTCCTGTAATAAAAAACAATTACACAATTCTAAAAATCCTACAGTTGCAAATATTACTCAAATAGAACAAAACTACCACCTCTACTTTTTCTTACTTTACGCATACAGTTCTACACATTTACATGGTATTGACCTATGAATTCATAAGTATTGATATGTATGTATTTTGAATTTCGAATATATATATATATATATATATATATATATATATATGATATATAAATATATACACACACACACATATATATATATATATATATATATATATATATATATATATATATATATTTATACATATATATATGTATATTAATATATAAATATTTTAACATTCCTGATGAATAGCTGATAGCTATACATAATTATATATATATATATATATATATATATATATATATATATAATTATGTATGTATATATGAATGCATATTCAGTGAGCAATCTAACATTCATAATAATTATATATATATATATATACATATATATATATATATATATATATATATATATATATATATGTTAGTTTTCATCTTGAAATATAGAAACAGTGAAAAAAAAAAATATTTTGTTGCATATTTTTTGACATAGTTATATATGCAATAGCGGATTTGACTATAGTTATAATAACTTTTTATAAATACAGGATATTATATTGAATATAAGATCTGACTTTGCTTCTAAAATGCTTCGTGTTAACAAAGATAGTTAAAAGTTATTAGAACCAATTACAACTATAGTCACAGCTTTATCCACAACAATGACTGTCACATTGACAGTTACAGTGTTACTTGCTAGTGCTAATGATGTACTTTGTATTTATTAGTATTACAAAAATTGTTCACATCCAGGGATGATGACAAAGTAATATGTCAAAATATTTTCGTTTTCACTTGATATATTTTGCCTGCCTTACATATATAAACAGGTTTTATTTTACGGAATTTTATTTACGTATACATATACGTATTACTTATACATGGATATATATGAAAACTCTAAAAGCTAAAATTTTACATACATTTATCTTTTCCGCTACGGGCTGTGCTTCACTTTCTGTGTTTTCTAAGGGTTTTAGATTTGCCATTTTAATGAATTATGAAATGTAAATGATTTCTGAAAACAACTGATATATATCAGGTAGCTTTACTATATTCTCAGGATTAACTTATTTGCACAAATCACTAACTTGGGTTGCTATTTATCACAAAAACTGAAAGCGCGTACCGAATCATGAATAAAAATGGCAGCGAAACCCTAGCGAAAACAATTACAGCGATACCAATATTGCCATGTCAATGTCAACGCATAACCAACTTGTATCACATCTCTTTTGCGCGGGAATGTTTCAATTTATATTGCTACTCTTTATATGATACTTATATTCGACAAAATGACAATATTTCTTTATTTATCGCCAACGTTTGTCATTTTTTTTTAATTAATGGCTGTAATAATTATAAATGAGCAACTATACAGAAAATATGCAATCATATGAATATATTACATTCTAATATTCAAGGTATACGATTTTATGTCTGCCCCTAGATAATGTTATTTAGAATTAGAATATAATATATTCATATGGTCTTCCCTAAAAAAATCCTAATAAAAAATAATAAAAATTCAGAATTACTCTATGTTTGCCTAATATTATTAAGGCGATTAGGGCACTTTAATGTATGTATTAGAATATTATAATATGAAATCAAAAAGCAATAAGAATTATGATGACATATAAATCATGATATGTCTAATTATTAAGTTTGGCTCAAAATCTTTTGACAAATATTTGAAAATTATTTTATTTTTATTTCACCAAATAATTTTTAATGATTAAATAACTTGAGTTAAACTCTAAATTAAAAAAGGATATCAAAAATTATATTTTATTTTTAATAAAAATAGTTGATTATACAAATCATATAAAACATTTAAATAATGTCATGGGTGATCAATTTTTTTTAAAAAAAATTCAGCATAAGTTGTTTAGCTTAAATAAAATAAAATGCAAAATCTATGATACATTAGGTATAATATGTAATATCATGGACATATTTGCAAGGTACATTTAGGTCATCATTTAAAGGAAATTCTAAACATAAAAAGGAAAACTAAAACATAAAAATCTATTTATATTCTATTATAAAGTATAACTTTTGGTTTAGAAAATTAAAAATATAATTAATCCAAAAAATTTATAAAAAATTTAGAAAATTTAAATGACATCTTTTTCATCCTTTTCTTTGCTTAAATTATCAGCAACTGTAGACTTCAATTCCATTGCCAATTTGAAACCTAATTCAGGCCTCCTATCACGTCCATCCACCATTGCCTTCACCTTTAAAATATTTTTTCTTTTAAATTCAAAGTATCAAAAATAACTAAAATTAACAAATAAACTTCTAGCATAAATAAAATATATCATAATACTAATACAACAAGAGGCATCTTTGAAAATCTAAATATTTATTAACTACTGTTTTGGTTGTACTATTGTAATTATTTTTCTTACTTGTGATGATGATACTATAACACCGTGACCATTTATTATTGTTCTACGAGTTTTTTCAATATCAGCTAAATCCACACCACGACAACAATCTTCTACAATTATAGTTCTAAAAATATAAAAGATATATTATACAATATTTGAATTATATCTATAAATATAATATCATAATAACTATAATTATTTAGATGTAGATGTTATCTTATACAGCACGCTCTTTTGATTGTGTTGCATTATATGCATATGATCTCATGTTGAACTTTCCTCATTAAAGACGATTAAATATTAGAAAAAACTTCACATAAATGTGCATTTTATTGAAATCAAACTAAGACTTAACTTATGCTTATGCAACAAAAAAATAGTTAATTCAAGCAAATTAATAGTTTGAAATTATATATAATCCTGACTTTTACTCATGCTATGTTGAAAACACATACAATATATGATAGACTGAAAACGCTTCATACATTGTTATGATTTCCATAAATTTTACCTGTAGCCAACGGATATAGCATCAGCTGCAGTTGCCCCAACACAGACATCATAAGCCAAACCACACACATAAAGATCAGTGGCGGACCGAGCTCTTAATTCAGCGCATAAAGTTGTATGCGCCATACGTTTATTGTCCCAAAAAACTGAGTACGAATCTACTTCTGGATTTGTTCCTTTGTACACTTTCACTGCATTTTCTACTACCTGCAAACAAAGAATGTTCTAATGATTGAAATTAATTTTCATTTAATGTATAATAAAAATATATATACATGTTATATAATAAGTAAGTGATACAATATATAATATTTTGCACTAACTTTTAAATCCTCATGTAGTTCAGAACCCCACGAGTCCTGGACACAATGTCTTGGCCATAATCTTTGTTTCATTGGAGGTGGACCAGCAAAAACCACAGTGTCATATACCTGTGCTTGTTCAACTGAGACCTAAAATTTAATTAATATTCATACTTAAGATTTAAAAAAAAAATGATTCATAATTTTTCTGCTCATAATTCTCATATACAAGATTTCTTGAAATATGTGTTTTCGTCGAAATATTATTATACTAAATTAAGAAGATATTAAAGTTTTTTTAAATATATAACAACATATTTCATTTGCTAAAGAAAGAGGAACACAAAATAATAATTACTGATATTTCATACTCACAATATTAAAAATTTTTAACTTACTGGACTGGAATCATGAAGTTCTCTCTGAGGCAAATTATCAATAAAAGAGACATGATCACTAGGATGCCAATCTAAAGAGTAAACTACTGCATCAAATTCAACAGAATCCAATAACTTATTAATAGGTTCGATCACCTGTAAAATTATAAGAAACATATTAATAAACCTTGTAGTTACTACAACTAACACAAAATAATAATCGCTGAAAATGCTTATAAAATATTTGTAAGATTTTTTTTTATTTATATTAGAAATAAATTAATATGTTTGTTTTGCGATTCTAACATTAAATTTTTCTAATCACATACCTCATGACCATTTTGTTGAGCACTGCAATTGCTAATATTCAATGTTCCAGAGATAAAATCGTTCTGAACATCTACCACTAGAAAAACACTCACTGGGCGAACAATCTACAAACAAAATGCTTTTGTAAATATCGATTTAAAAATTCAAGATTAAAATTAAACAAAAACTCAAAAAAAAATCTTTAAGTTTAAATTCTTTAAGTTTTAGGTAGATCTTAAAATCTTTAAATAATTGCTAAAGTTTATTATTTGCTTTGGAGTATGATTAGTAAGTCTGTTCAGTCCTACCCAATAAATAAAAAGTAGTCTTGGTTGCAAAGATCATATACGGAATCTTATTTTCGTCTTCGGATTCTAAATTATAAGTCTTGGAATATAATGGTGAGATTAGTAAATAATTAAGGGTGTACATAAAATTTCGCTACGAATCGCACTGGACTTTGGTGAACGAATAACTAAATTCGTTAAAAATACCTTTACGAATCAGTATTATTATATTATATTATCATTACTTTGATACGCCAAAGAACATTTAAATATCTTTCGCATTGATTTTCTCTGAGTTGAGTTCCAGACTATCTCACCTGCCCAAGGTCTAAGTTGCTTTGAAAGCTGGTGCATAAAATATCAATATAGCCCCACAAAGCTCTAAAACCCAAAGCAAATTTTGAAGATAATAAAAATATTCTATCCTGTGTTGAGACCGGAAGCAAAATTGAGTGATAATAGAAATATTCAGCGCTAAAAATCCAGAACTGAATCCTGTCTATTATATCAGTACCTGAATAGATTATTATCAAAGATCTTATATAACCGGAACCATCATCTACTTTTCTCAAAGACACTAATTTGACTATGTAAATATTTCACATGTCTACTATATAACAATAAGAATGATCGCAGTTACTGAGGCACACCAAAAAGTGTGAAAAATGCTCCAAGAGAGGATAGATTGCATTAATGCAATTTGACCCGTTTGTTTCAAAATTATAATTTTTTAGCTGTTTTCAAATAATTTAATTGTTTTCTACCAGATAAATATATCTAATAGATATGGCTCTAAAAATATTTATGCAATACTCTCTGTATTGACCACAAATAAAATTTGTGCAAGATCACATATAGAATATATACAACCATACATTTCTAGCGCTAAAATGTAATATTAATCTACTTAGAAATTTAATATCTGACCACTTTGATCCAATGATTCCAGCAGAACTGGAATTCTGTTTTATCCAGAAATCCATCACCATTAGAGTCAAAAACTGCAAACATCTGCTGCAGTTGTTCTGGTTTCACATGGTATACTTGGCCACGTTCGTTCCGGAACAAGGCTCGGCATATAAGACCAAACTCATCCAAGCTTAATCGACCATCACTGTAAACCAGAAAATATATTATTGAGGATACTGCAATGATAGTTAATTAATTTAATTTATTATAATTGCAATAATACGTCACAAAATATTAAAATTCACATCAATATGAAAGAAATAATAAAATTAACAAATATTGGGCATATTTAAGAAGTGTATTTTTTGAATTCAATATACGCATATACTATATATATACAATCATATATGATGTATACAATACCTTTATGTTTTTGTTAATTTACTTGTTAACTAGCCATAAAAGTTACTAATGCTCAAATTTACCCATTAAATATGTTCTATAACTTACCAACTTTTAAATAATTTTGTTTATGTCTTTACATTGATTTGATAATTTAAACTAAAGCAATAAATGTTTGCTATTTAGCCAGTTAACTAAGATTGGCAGTGTATACCCATCCTGGAAAAGTGGCAGAATTTTGTGCATTAACAAGTTTACTCGTCATGCATACGAATTCCTGATCATTGGCTATTTAGATTGCAATTAAAAAAACATTCTCAAATTTCAAATTAAAAAATCAAATTTAGAAAATTATTTTGAGGCTAAGCCGGTATAAAATAAATGGTTGTAAGTGACAAATTATCTTAAAACAACAATTTACCTTTACACAAAACTGCGCGCACAGTTAACTGGTTGGAATTAGGAAATGCAATACCGGTATACCAGTATACCGGTATACCGCCCGTTTTTTCGGCGGTATTAATACCGGTATTTATCCTAAAAACACCGGTATTTTCGGTATTTTTACATAAGCGCTAGTTGATACATATATATCACACTCGAGTTTAAATTTCTCGGAATAAATTTATCTTTAAATCCCATAATCGCTTAAACAGATATATTGTTCTATAGTATAAACAAATATCAGAACCACAGATAGTGGTTCTATAGTATAAACAAATATCAAAATATTATGTCGACTCGTCATTAAACTAAATGTTAGTTGCTTTCCAAAGGGCTTCGTATCTTTTCTAAGTAAATAGAATATAATTAATAAATAATGATGTTTATTTAATCTTATGTAAAAATGTAACGCCAAAGCGCCAAAATATTTTTTATCATAAATACTCACAAAATAAAGATTATGACCGTGTAATTTTTTTTTAAAGATACTCAACAATTATAGGATGTTATTATTCAACTTGATAAAGTATCGTATCTTAAATTAGTATAGAAAACTTAGTCTTTTAAAGTCTTTAAAATATTGGAAATTATGCTGATTTAACACATCAAATACAAACAATAAAATTTATTATTATAATGTAATGTGAAATGTGATTATTATGAGTTTTTGGTCTTCCTTACTCTAGGTTTGATTTTGGTGTAAAGTTCTCAATATACTCGATACTGTTAAGTTAAATAAATTGGACATAATTTTGTTAAATTATTATTAAACTACTTATTGTTTTTTTATTGTTTAGTTGTATATAGTTGTAGTTGTATATATAATTTTTCTGTACTGAAAATAGCAGTATTGTCAGTTCTAAAATGAGAAATTACCGAAATACCGGTATTGCAATTTTTTATCGGTATTGCATTTCCTAGTTGGAATAGAATCAATACAAAATTTATATAATTATAACACTAATTATTGCAAACTGACAAAATATAAAAATACTATCTAAAAATATTTAAATATACTGTAGATAATTAAACTTTATAAAAGTGTTTCAAATAAAAAAAAAAACTCCACTTACTTATCTTTGTCGAAAGCGGTAAAGCAAGCATCCATATTTTGTAGATTGTCATCAGTGGAAACCAATTCGAAAAAGTTCGACACATCAAGCCCGTTTGGGGCTTCGTGGACTACTGCGTCGGCCATGAGTTAGCAACCTGCAGGGGGCGCGATGGAAAGAGAAACCTAAGGCACTAAAACAGGGGTTGACCAGGGTAAGAAACTTTGGCTGATAAAACACTGGAAAATTATATGTATTATTTGTGCAATTTGAATAAGTCGAGAAATTTAATGTAAAATCTACATTCATGGTATTTTTGATGGAATTAAAATTTATAAGACAATGAAAAAGATAAAGAGTTATATATTAACTTCATTAATCTTGTCAATTGTCTTATAGTTAAAACCAATTGAATTCAATTTTTATTTGATGTATTGCCCTGTAGATTTTGACTCACATATTTCAACATCAAAATTATAATAAAATGTTATTATAAATTATTATAATTTCAACAATTGTATATGTATATGTAACAAATATAGATTCACACAATTCAATGTCGTTGTTGTTTATATTCGATTTTAGTTTGGTTTTTCAAATTAAATATATAATTCTTTTTTGTAAATAAGACTGAAAATCATATCTTTATCAAGGTGTAGTTATTTATTTTTTTGAATTATTGTTTTGTTCATCCTCTCAAGAAGAGTTAAATTGGAACCCAAAACGCATGGAAAATTTATTAAAAGATAACTATGTTTTTTACTTCCCATAGAGTAAGTTATAGTAATCGCAAAAAAATCGAAAATGAAAATTTGTATATATCTTTACGTTTCAAAAGTTTTTGAACATTTTGGCATACCTTAGAAAAAATGGATGTATGTGTATGTGCGTATGTGTGTATGTGAGTGTGTGTGTGCGGATACAAATTTTCGTCGACGATTTCGGGAACACCGATCAACCGATTTGAATAATTCAAAAAACATTCGATTCGTATTGATAAGGAGACGTGCTGATTAGTTTTTGGCGAATGCAGGTCTAGCCGTTCCGAAGACACGGGACAAAAAGTGCCAAAAACGGTAACTCAGTTTTAGAGAGAACGGAACGTCCGATTTTAATAATTCAAAAAACATTTTACTTGTATTAATTAATAAAAATAAGTTAAAAAAATGTCATTTTGCGGTCAAAAATGTTTAGTGGTCATATGTACATTAAATTATCAGATATTTTATAGAGATTTTAATAATGTGTACACATTTTGTGTAATTTTTTTTTTGAGTTTCGTACTAAGATTTTTAATTACGGCACGGGAAGTTCCAGCAATTTGCCTTAAAGAACGATGCCATGCATCCCACTAGTTATTTTTGATGACTGGATGGATGCCTGCGTAAAAAACTTTTTTGTGTATAGTTTTTCAAATTAGCCTATTATTATAAAAGTTAAAAAAAATCTAATTCTTTTGACAAAATAATGAATTGCTTTTGATTATCAATATTAATTTATTATTACCCAAATCAAACTGTAAATTCTTGTAATTGCCATTATGTTTTAGTGTTCGAAGTTAAATAAAAAAATTCATATAAAAATGTTATAGATTAGGTTGTTTCTGGTATAAATTGCTTCTAATTATCCATATTAATCCATCTTTTAATACATCGAATTGGATGCTAAATTTAATAAATACAGAGAGAGAATTCACGAAATGATTACGTTTACTAACAGGAATTTTTAAAAATAAAAAATAATAAAAAAAAATTAACTGTGTTTGATACAATCCCTGTACGAAACCCAAAATATTTTTACTGAAAAGGTCAAAATATCTATTACACATTCAAACATCTCAATACGCTAAAAGCGGACATAGAAAGTCTATGCAACTCGAATATAGAAAAACGATATCGAAAACCGAAATTTAATGTAATGAAAAGAGAAAATCATATTAATACCGATTCGGTCTTTGAAAATTAATTTTGCTGGTGCAGTGCGTTTAAGTTGGAGAACGAATAAACAATATATCCAGTTGACAAGTGGGACTGAATAGCAGATATAATGCGGTTCTGAACGAATACACAGCAAGGCGCGTGGGAGAATGAAAGGTTGGTACGTCCTGGTACCGAGCTACCAGGTTTCCGATCAAGATAATTATGGATAAAATGCTTGATAATGGTATTTGATCAAGTGCGAAAGCAAAAAATCAAAAGAGCCAATTTTAACTGGACAATGTGCTTCATGTTTCATAATGACTCTGTCATCTTGCTGAAAAGAAAAGCTGAATAAAATTTTGACTGACAATCTATGTCAGTCATCCATATATTGAGAATTAAAAAAATTGTCAATTTTGCTAATAAGGTTAAATTAGGATAATAAATTATTAACTTCCCGTAGGGTAAGTTATAGTAATCGCAAAAAAATTGAAAATGAAAATTTTTGTATATCTTTACGTTTTAGAGATTTCTTAACATTTTGGCATACATTAGAAAGAATGGATGTATGTGTGTGTGTTTTTGTGTGTATGTGTGTGTGTGCGGATACAAATTTTCGTCGACTCGGAATCTCCAAAATATTTCAAAATAAAGAAAACACTTCATTTTCAAGAAGTCAAGTTTCAAAAAAGTAAAATTTTGTCAAAAATTTATAGTTTCTCAAAAATCTATTTTTTTTCAAAGTACTTCTTTTCAAAAATGTTTATTTTTAAAAAAAAGAATTTGGTACGGGAAGTTTCAGCAATTTGCCTTAAGGCACGATGTCATGCCACAGGTTAAATCATACTATTAAAAAAATATTATAATAAATATTTTCAAGCAAACTTAATAATCTAACCAATAATCAATGCAAACCATACTTAATTCAATATTAAAATTGAAAAAATGAAAGAAAGTAATACAGCCCCTCTCGGGGGTCTTAAAAAGAATGCACCATTATTGTACTAAGAACAAGAAGTTAATATCAAAATCTCACATTTTTTTATATTTTTTTTATAATTTTATTTGAACAGCGATCAGAACTTATGGGTTCTATGAGCTGTTGTGATCAATATCTTACAAACTACATTTGTTTTATTACAGATGGCAACCCAAACAGTTGTCACATCTCTGTATGATAATTTTTTTTATTACAATCTCTGTAATAGGGCAAGTATATGGTGCAACAATGCCGGGTGAGGGCTATTTTCACTTGGAAACATATTGCTATTTATATTTCCAAGTGAAAATCGTTGTCACTGTTGCCTGACAACAGGCTGCTCGAAGTGGGTATCGAACCCGGGACCTCTGAAACAAGTCCCGTCACTCTTAACGGCTTACCTACGGGCGAGCAAAATCTCACATAATACCGATTTTGATGTACGGCATTACTATTTGTAGTCAAACCACCAACAAAAATATAAAGAACCTATAAAAAATGATGAAAAAAGTAATTAAATCAACATATAATTGAGCGGTTCATCCATAATATAAAAATAAATCGCAAAATGTGTTGGTAAGCGCATAACTCAACAACTTCTGGACCAATTTGGCCAATTCTTTTTTTAAAATGTTTGTTGAAGTCCAAGGATGGTTCTTACGGCGAGAAAAAATCGAATAATTGCCGGGAAAACTCTAAAAACAGCCCTTTTCTTTTTCACATACAAACGTTAGTATTTTAATATTTTTGCCATCGGATACGGAATATTTACTTAAGTTAATGAAGCGTTTTGGGTCTGAAATTTTTTACTGTGCTCCAATTTGTATGACATTTTGAAATTAGGTTTATCTTACCCTCAAGTTCAAAAGTGAAAATAATTTAGACTCCTTTGCCATTTCCCGGGGGAATGACATCCCTCTCAGTGATGTAATTTCATTTTTTTTTAATAACGACGGATATCGATAAAAGAACTAATTATAAGAAAAAAATGTTTCATAATGTTTTTCAAAAAAGCAAATACTCATCATTTTGGGAATTATTACAACTTCATACCCATATTAAGCAACAAAGTAATAAATAATATTTAATTTATGATATTAATGCATATTTTATTCATATTTTCTCACTATTTTAAAATAAATTAAGTGTTAAAAATAAATTAAACAAATAAATAAAGTGTTTAAAATTAATTGCTATGTCAAAATAAATAGTATTCATCTAATATTATAGTTTCGATAATTAATTACCAATTATTTTAGTCAGAAAATTGAAAAAAAAGTTGCTAATCATACATTTGATACATTTGTACTCCGGATTCTACAGAATCTTATCCATGTTGGTCTCAGGGATAGTAAGAATATCAATTTATAGTCGAAAAATATATTATAATTAAACAAGTAATTTTTTTGACAATTGTAAATTTGGGAAAAAATATAGCAAAACTAATAAATGTTAAAAATCAAATATTTCTGGATAATTTTAGAAGAATCATTAAGAATTGCTTAAGGGTCATATAGCAAGTGGCCAATAGTATGTGACCAATAAAACCATTCCTAATTACAGAATCATAGAAAATATTAAAGTTAGTAAGGAAAATTGGACGTAATACCAAATAGGGTATAATACATTTATAAAAGTCACTTGTTTATTCATAATAAATTTTGAAATGTGCTTTTTTATTCAAAAGTATAACAATTTAATTTTTTTTTTCATTATTTTAAGTTAAAAACAATTTAATCTATAGTAAATTCAAAATTCGTATTTAAAATTCAATCTGAATATTATTTATTTGTGGATTGATATAAACGTTTATAAAAAAGTGAATAAAATGTTGGTTATCGAGCGGATTTAAATAATGAGGTGAATTTAAAAAAAAAACTAATTTAATTCTTTCGTTTTATTAATTATTTATTAGTTATGATGTTCTTTTACACAGTCTTAGTGTTTATAATAAGTTTTGTTTTTGGGTTTTTCCTGGTCTGATTACTAAATGATGAAACCCATTTTTTATGTGTTGAAACGTTTAATAAAGAATCTGTCTATATTAACTACCTTTTTAAATTCGACGATTGCACTGCAAAATACTTCAGATATATGTATGTATATATATATATATATATATATATATATATATATATGGTGGTCCTTAAAATGGTCATTTTCGAATTACCTTGCTCCCAGGGGCTCAAATGGTTCCAAATAGATAAAAAACAATTCTCTGTAAGTTTTAGCTCCTAATATTAACGTTTAGATAGAGCGCAATTCAATCAAAGTTTTGTATGGAAATAGCAAATA